AATCAGCAGGAAAGGTATTATCAATTCAGTGTGACAAGAATAACACCATCAAAGAATAATGGCCTTGATTGTAAACAGGTTCTGTAGTGGAGACACTTCGCTATAATACAGGGATTATGTGGATGACTAGCACCTCTCTTAAAATTACTTTCAAAACACAATGCCACATTCGTTTGTTTGAGCCGACACAGGCTAAAAAAGAAGGTACTGTTGCTGACAGGGAGGGAGAGCAACACGGGACAAATAGTTACTCGAGAAACTTCTGGAACTATCCTGGTTTGATTATTTTTACGAATTATGATTAAATTCTCAACAGGGGTAAATGTTCATAGAGCGTGCGTTAATGGTTTTTCTTATTACTTTTTCAATGATTTATACAGCAATTTGTGAAGAGTATTTATTCCATTACATAAATTTTAAGCAATTGGATTTTTCTACCGGAACCATATTAACTCATTTTTACTGTGTTTTAAGGTAGCATTTTGCACAGTTTTTATATACCTACACGTTTATAAAAACTAAAAAACAAAATTGAATGTCATTCAATGTCACATGTTATTTTTTTTTTCAAACTTTTCTTTTATAATATTATATCTTTCATTTTTATTTAAAATTTTATCTCAAACATTTTACTGATTTTAAATTAGTCATTTTAATTTATGTTTTTTATAAAATTATCATAATCTTAAACAAATATTTTAATATTTTGTTGGTACTAAATTCTTGCAAATATTTATTTTTATTATAATATCACTAAATAAAAAATAATTTGAAGAAAAAACTTAATTTAATATATTGTCCCGGTAATGAGTTTTGCAAGTTGAGCTATGAAACTCAAATTGATATAATATATTGATATTTTAATATTAAAAAAATATTATCTTGAAATTTATTTAAAATCAAACCATATTTTTACTTATCGTCTATGTTATTTTTAAATATGTCAAATCAATTAAGTACCTAGAGTCAACTAAAACTTAGACTAGTTAAGAAATCGGGTTAAAAGGTTTTAAAGATGACTAGCTAGGTTGAATTTAAAAACAATATCAAATAGTTTTTTTTTTTTAATTCTATTCCAATTTTATCTTTCATTTGAGTCTTGTTTGTTTGTTTGTTTTTTTATCAATCTTATCCTTTAAAATTTAGTTGCTTTTGTATTGATATTCATAATTTATTTTGGTTTATTTTTTATGAGGTTATCACAGTTTTAAACAAACATCCTAACATTTGGTTGATCTTTAATTTTGCAAGCGTTCATTTTTCTTACCATATTATCAAGAAAAAAACTAGTTCAAAAGAAATATCAAACCTAATAGAGCCTATGATCTATGTCACTAGTTTGGCGAGTTAAACTACAAAGTTCGGGTGGTTCTAATATGTGTTTGTTTCAATATTAAAAAAATATATCATAATAAAAAAATTTAAAAGTTAAATCATATTTTTTAAAGTTCATCCCATTTGTATTTAGATCTGTCAAATTGATAAGATTATATTAATGTAATTTTTATATAATTTAATTTAAAATATGAGAGAAGTTAAATTAAGAGTTCAGAAAGTTGATCTACTGGGTTAAATAACAATGCCGAAAAAATTTCCCACCATATATATATTTTTTTTAGGTTTAACAAAATTTTGATTCAACCCTTGGTGCAGCGTGGGTTAGGAAACTAGCTATAAGAAAAAACAATTACAATTCTAGGGGTCAAATTTTAAATTGAAACAACAAATAAAGCCTCCTTTTCCTTTTTCCATTGTACAGGAGGTGTGTTTTTAAGTATTTTGGTCCTCAAAGTTTTTAGTTCCCCTTTTCTTTTCTAGTCAAAACTAAATTACTGCAAATCTAAATCTTAATTCAAAAATTCATTTTGATCCTCCCATTTTCTCCATTCAACTTTCAATCCCTGTAATTACATCACCGTGTCAATTTTTTTATTGAATTCACATTCTTAGATTTTTTTTTTTGTATTATCCTGCAGCGGGAGAGTACCCTATTCTTTTTTATTTGAAACCAATTGTGGAGCAAGCACTTTTGGAGCAAATAAATGCCAGCACTTTTGGAGCAAATAAAGGCACAAAAATGCAATAACAGTTACTGTTAAAGAATTTGAACCCAAACTCTATCGAACTTTTGGGATTTTTTTCTGGGCAACACAACAACGCCTTCTTCTTCTGTGTCCGAATATTTGTATTTTTAAAATTATTTTTTAAAAAAATTATTTATTATTTATTTCAAATTTTTTTAAAGTATTTTTATATTTTTTTTGATATGATAGTATTGAAATAAAATTTAAAAAAAACATTCACGCACTTAAAAAGTTACGGATTAATGCAACTATGCAAGTGTTTTCTTACACGTGTCATTGTATTCAGAGAACGCTAGATGTTCCGTCCTCAATATTCAATTAGATTTTTGTTTGAGTTCTTGTTTATAAATTTTTTTGAATTGCTGGTTTTCTTTCAATAAGCGCTTGTTGTGCTGGAGAATCCCTCCTAGGGTAATTATTTTTTTTAGAGTTATTTCTGGTAAACGCACTGAGACGAAGTCTCTCATATTTCTTCATGCAGCGCCAAGAAAAGCTGCAACTTTGCTCCAAAAGAGAGCAGCGACTGGGGGAACGTACAATATGTAAGCTTTCACGTGATAGGCTCTGTTAATGATGTTATTTGGGGGGTAGAATGGGCCACCGGGGGAAACTTTCGAGAAAGGAAGATAAGAAAGGATAGGACAGTGGTATTCAAACAAAGATGAAACATTTTGAACCTTTCCGTGCTGTCTGGTATTCGAAAGGATCGGCACCGCTTGATTTTGGCTTCGGGACTGCAGGTTAATTAAGAATTTTATATATATATATATATATATATATTTAAAAAAACTAAATCCCATTAATTTTTTACATAGAGAAAAACATATTGCACTGTGATGCTATAAAGCAATGACTTTTTTTTTTCCCTTTATTAACAAACAAAAGGCTTTTTTTTTAGGTAAGATTGTTTTTTCTAAGGATTCACTTGATAATATAAAATTATTTGGGGTATGATATTGGTTTATTAGTTTTTTTACACAATTAAATAAAATAAATACCCCTGGGAAGTTAAAAGAAAAATAAAGGATGAAAAAGCTTTTTCATCATTTTCTATGTTTTATAAAAAACAACTATTTCGGTGCCCTTCAAGTAAAAAAGAAGAAGAGAGAGGAGTTATGGGTGTTTTAATATTTTCATCATGATTTTTCTCTTGTAATCTTTTCTATTCTCCTTGAAATTCATTGGTAAACCAGATTTTAGAGTTATCCTTCTATTTAATTTTTTTTTTTCAATTGTGATCCTTTTTATAAATTAGCAATTCAGTCCACTGGACATAACCTGTTTTTTTTTTTTTTCCAGCGTTCAAAAGATAAAAATATTAATTTAAAATGTTTTTAAAAAATAATTCAAAAACTTTGAAAGGAAACTGGCAGCAAGAGCGGGAGTATCTAAAATTAAGATTGGATTCAGAACCCCAAACATGGCATCCTCTCCCAATATAACATTAAGACCAATTATTAATTAATCTTGCTGATCTTCTAAGATGACGAGCGGGGAGACAATGAGGACAGATACAAAGAAGCGAAAGATAGACATATTATTCATTCTTGGTCTCTGCTACTCTTGATTCTCTAGTGACAGAAGATAACTTTGAGTTCACGTGGCGAAGAACATTCATGCATGAGCGATGGACTATCATGAGCATAGGTAAAAGTGGCTGGACAAGCATGCTTAAAGAACTCAGAAAAAGTCGAAGCCCTACACGTCCGTGGACTATTGTAATGGTTCCTGCAACACAGCTCATCCGTTCCAAGTGCCTCACACCCACTCTTGCACCC